TGATGTTGGTTGCTCCAATTCTTTGCCTTGGATTAGCTGTCCATGCAAGGAATTCTCTTTCTCCTGAATAATGAATGCCTGTAAAATGCAGCAAGAGAAGAACAATACCTAGCATAGGGTAGTGCAAGCAGTTGGCCAAAAGGGATCATTCACTTTAGCATAACTTCTGGTGCTCTGCTAACTGTTAGTAGTGGCCCATGAAAACTTTACAGTTGTAGTATAGACAGTGCTAAATTATTTAAACTGCATCTTTCAGGAAAAAAAACACCTTTAAAATACCGTGCTTTTTTGAGATGAGCTATCATTTTGACATTTTTGGATTCCACCTTTACTTTGCGATACAGCATGTTATGTGGAATGCTGTGCTGCTGTGTGTGCTGAGACACTGAACTGCGTCAGGCGGAAACCACGAGCATGTTTGGAGAAGATAATTTTAATTAGCACAATTAAAACCCCAGCCATTATTAGCCTAAGTTATCCAAACGTTTTTATCCTCTAGTCCGTAGAAGAATTATTTTCCCACTGTTAAGAAACATGATGGAATCAGTCAGCAATGTGTGTTCCAGCAATAAATATTTGCATATAGGCTAGTACAGCAAAGGGTTTTTTTTAATTTTATTTTTTTTCCCAGCAGCTAGCTGTCCCTCATCAGTGACTTGAAGGCCTGCCAGGTCGTGAAAGTCAAGGCCAAGCCCTTTTCGAAAAACAAGCTAGTGGGGACCTTTGGACGCCACTGTGCGAAGGATACTGTTTTAGCTGAACAGATGTTCTCAGTCCAAGGCTGATACTCTTGGAAGAGGTGCCAGGCGACAAAAATAGTTGTATTTTCTAGGGCAGATGGAAAAGAATGCTGTGTGTTTCAAGCTGGTATTTTATGTTGTAGTTGTGGAGGATTCAAGTTGAGGACTTTGAGTTGTGGATTGCTTTCTGTATATGAGTCCTAAAAGTGTATCTTGCTCTCACTATTTGGTTTGATGTCCTTAGGAGACAAAATACTCAAATGTAAGTGGACCACCTGTGCACCATTCAAAGCAGCTAGAAAGCTGTTTGGAGTAGTCAACACCATGTGCTCATAAATGAGTGAAGTGTCTTGTTATTCTGGGCAGTGCTAAGAAGTATTTTTAGCATATTCTTTTTTTTTAAATTGGCTGAAACATGATATCAGAAACAGAAATATTTTTGTTGTTGTTTTCATCTGTTCAGAATGACAAATTGAAGCACACAGTTATAATACAAAATAATATTTTATTTATTGTTATCTATGTATATATAGCTTGTATATACTCCATAAGATTGGATATATTCCAAAGCCAAAAGCATCTCTGTCTGTCAGCTAAGAAGGCCTTATATATTAGATTGTTTTTAAAAAAACACACTATGGTTAGCATCTAATTGACAAAATATTACTCTGTTCCTAACTTTGCAAAACTCTGTCCCTTGCTTTTCAGCAACCTTAATGTCTAATTGACTTCTTGTCTAGTCAGTTATTGTACCAAAGTTGAAAGGGTTCTTTCTAATTTTAGTGCAAACTATTAAGTTTGCAAAAATGCTAGATTGAAGTAATAGGCTAGCTTTGAAGAATTTTGCTAGAGAAACCACTGGTGGCTTCCAAAATGGTTTCAGTTCGGATGGGTTCATATTTATAGTTCAGTCTTAAAGACAAAATCCACCTTGCTCAATAAATGGGTTAATTTGGCTTTATAAAGCTATCTATTTCCTGTTTATCATGTCAAACCCTTGTGGGTTGTTTATTTTGAGTAGACGTGGAATTTCTAGCTCTGGAAAGTAAGGATCTAATCCCAACTGCGTTAAGGACTGTTTCTTTATTTGTTGACTGTAGCGTAATGATATTGAGGTGGATATAGAAAAGCATTCTTCAGCACTATAGTGGGAGAAGCAAAGGAAAAAATTTCATGACACAAAGTACAGTGATAGTTGCTGATGTTGTCACTTTGTACTGCATGATGTGGCATGACTGAAGTAGTTTTGTGCTGGTGCCTGCTAATTAAGCCAGTCACGTGGATAACTGTAGTACAGAACAATATGTGACAATCCTAAAGTATTCTGTAAGCACCAAAGACGACTTTGAAGTTATCTGGTCTGGATTGAGCAACCCAGGCAAAATTAATTTTAGATGCATTGATCCTTAAAGACTCTACACATGTATTACAGGAAGAATCAGGACTTGGTATCTTTCCTAAGTTTTATTAGAACACTGCCCAAACCAAAAAAGCCAAGGTGATATCACCAATTTAGGATTTTTAATGCTAATATTGATCATTGTGCATGAAAAATGAAGCAAGACAACTGTTAAATCGAACGCAAATGTTAACAAATGGGTGGTAGATCTTCATCCAAGCAGCACTTAGCAGCTTTGCCATTCCTTTCCTCCCAGGAGAGTGCGGTGCCATCTTCAATATAACTTCCTTGAACAAGCATAGGTTTAATGGACTGACTTACTAGAAGTTGCAGATGTGACAAATTTTATTCCCACAGAACTTTCAAACCTAGAATATGCTTCAGGAAGCACTTGTATGAGGGCCTTTTTTTAACGCACAACAATTGAGAGAATTTTCAAATGTTTTCTGTGTATTTTGTTGCTTGTGGGATGTAATCATGAATGACCATGGACTAAGAAATATTAACCACAGTCATAAATCAGTGAACCATTTTAAGAGAAAATTTGATTTAAATATTATTTCACATGTTACTTTTCCTCAAAAAGTACTGTTTATTCAGTCAATGTGGCCTTTTCAATAAAGATACAATCCTGGATATTGTCGGGCAAGGAACACAGTCAACATTTTCAGTGTGTCTTTGGCCAGAAATTGGCGTGAAGTGTTTAATGTTCAGGATTGTTGATTTTTTTAAAAAAATAATTCATAATTAATTTTAGTATTGAAGCTATCCAGTTTATTAAGCAAAGGAAATATTCCCTGAAGCCGATGAACTGGACTTGGGGGGTGGTGTGACATTCTTGAAAGATTTTAGAACAAGTAAGTCTTGTCATCTTATCTGGTTTTAAGTTATAAATTAAAAGAGGAAAAATGTGTTTCTGTCCATTTTATCAATGAGCAGGGTAGGGATTGAGTTGAACTAGACTGAATGGGAAAGAAATACTTTTTCAACTTACAGCAGAGACCACAACTGTCAGGAGTTAGTTCCTGACTTCAGCACTTCATGGTGTGGTGCAGGGATTTAGGAAATGAATTCTCCCCATGCAGTATTACAATACACAGTAAAGCTTTGACCAGAAGCATGGGCTTCTTGACAATTGTTTACCTAATTGTAATTGTTGATGGTATGTCTTAGTCTTAATACAGTTAGTTTATTTTAATTTCAAATGAAATTTTTAAATTTTTTAAAGCAATAGAATTCTATTGCTTTTTAAAGCAATAGAAGTAAAAATACCCTAAAATCTGTTTAAACTTTAAAAAAACACAAACCACCATATTTTCACTTTTTTTTTCCTTCTGCTCTCTTCCAAAACCTTAAAAAGGCAGCATAGTTCAGGTTGCCTCCCAGCTAATAAAGAGAAATGCTTTTTTTGAGTGATTAAAAAAACTGATGGAAGACTAGATGATACATTAAGGCAGCCAACACTGGGATCCCTCAGTCTGATCCCAGAAGTTCTAACTTAAACCTTCCTTTATGTAAATTCCTGATACAAATATTTGTAATGCTTTTTTATATTCTGAGTATAAAAATTTTCTTGATTAAACATCTCATGGTTACTTTTCTTCGAAATCATAATGTTGGTTCATATTCAGTTCAACTGTTGTCGTCAGTTTGTTTTGAGACACAGAGCCTTGCTTTTGTGAAGATGAATAGAAGGCCTGAAACCTGTTACTTTGTGAAACTTTTATTCTTGGAAACAGTTAGATTTTAACCAGAATTATATTCCTATGTTCTATATTTTAAATGCACACACATCTAGGGGGATTTATCTTAGTCTATATGCTAAAAGTTAGAGGTGGGAGTCAAACAAGTGAAAGGAATGGTAACCATTATCTGCAGTTATCAGCAGGTCTAAAGCTATCAAGCTATCTTGTTTGAGGTACTACAAGCATTTGCAGCAGGGTATGAACATTTTGTGGTGTTTGTCTTAATTAAATACTTAAATTCAAATTGAGCGTTTAATCTCAAACTGCTTTCAGAGCTATGAATTCTTTAGTAGAGAAATGATGAAATAAGGTTTAAATCACTGACACTGCACTGATGTTTATTTCAAGAAACTTGTTTATAAATCCAATTGTTTTATGTAAAACAAATCTGAATTAAACTGAAAAACAACTGTTAGGTTTCTGAAACAACAAATCGCTTTATAAATGCCCTAATATCTTGGATATTATTTACCTTTACTGTTTGGGAGGCTAATCCTACAATTATTTTATGCAGGTTCCGACTGGAACATCTCGTCAGAGTTACCCAGCTACCAGCTATCAAGACTTCAGCAACTGGGAATCTCTAATGAAAATTAAAGAGGGGCTACTAAGACAGAAAGAGATTGTGATTGATCGGTGAGTAACCTGCTGCTGCTGCGTTGGTTAGATTAAATAACGTAAAAGCTACGATGTAGAAACTGAATTTCAGGAGAGCTGCTTACTCAGTAAAGTTGTTAGGTTCCAGTCCAGCAAATATTTATGCACAAATATGTGGGAGCTGTTCCTTGCTAGGAGAGAAAACTGGCTGCTGGCTAAAAGTCTTTTGCAGATTTGGAAATTTAATTAGGGGTTTAATGCCTCTGCAATGGAAAAGGGAGAGTGAGACCAGCAGGCAGTTCTGCTGCCAGCTTTCCCAGCTCAGCTTCTTACCATCTGGGGGTTTGTATCAGACGTCTTTCTGCTTGTACAGGTCTTGGAAGTGACTTGCAAGATGAAAATTGGTAAACTGCATTGCCCTGGTTTTCTTTTCCATGACAAGTACAGAAATGCAATATATTTGAAGCCGGTTGATAAAGCTTTGAGAAATTGACCTTTGCAGCAACATTCAGTGGTAAAATCTTATTCAAATGCTTATGCAAATTATTCAGATAATAAAATATTAAATCCAGGATCTGTATGTCAGTAAATACGTCGCTTCTTATTAAAATTGCTATCAATCTGAAATGGGCCTTGGCAGCAACTCACTGCTGTTAAGTTTCTAGTATATCTGAAGTAATTTCTGGAGTTCTTGATGTTTGAATAAAATGAAGCCTTAATGAGGAAAATGTGCTTTTAATAAAGGGCTTGAGCTTAATGAAGCTTACACTAAATTAGCAGATGTCATCAGGAGCTGCGGAGTTTGGATGTAGGACATTTAGGAAGGGCATTTTTATATTTGACATAATTATCATTTGGCTTAGTCTGTGTTTTAATAATAAACTCTTGGCTCGTGGCTGAAAGAGGAGTGGTTGTTCTGATCTTGAAATAGTTGTGCCCTCTTATTGATATTTTGCTCCACAGCGTGAGGAGAATTGTGTAAAGCAGGTGTATGTTGATCACAGGAATGTCAGGCATCTATTATGAATGTTTTCATATTTCATCTAGCAGTTCCTCTCTTTTAATGGGTGGATATAGACCACTTGGGCATAATTTACTTTGAGACCAGGAGAATTATGCTTGTGGAAGATCTCTTCCGTCCTCTATTGCAACAGAGCAAGGAATTGCAGAGATTTAAGGTGTTTCTGGCCCCTAGCAATCTGACCAGTTCCTCTGCTGGCGTTGTAGTGATGAAGGTCAGCATCGGCTTCCGCAATTTGATGTGGCATATTGGTGTGCGTTTACCTGCCTCTGAAGATGGTACGCAAAGTTACCAACTGCAGCATCTGGGGCATGGGCACACCATCCCACTCTGCCAGCTCTCCTGCAGAGGTGGTGATCTCCCAAGGGAGATCAGTTGAATGGAAACATCCTTAGCCGTTGCTTAGATCTCCTCTGTCAGAGCCTTTTGATCAGCTGCTTAAAGGCTGTCCAAATTCCAGGGTTTTTTTCAGGCTTGCTATATCAGTAGTAACGCTGTGTAAGCTGCAGCCCACCTCTCAGGGCCCAAGCCATCAGCAGCATTTGCAAGGCTGGCGCCCATCATGGCAAGGGACTGTCTTTGGTGCCTCTGCTGAGCGTATAATCCTATGCACTCTACATGAAGGCTTGTTATACAATGGCAACTGAAAAGGCATTCACATTATTCTTCTCACACTGGAAATGTGTTTACAAATTTTACAGGATGAAGTTTCTGAAGTGGCAGTTTGTAACCTAGTTGCTACTACTGTTACTTGATACTATCCATGTTGAGGAAGAAAAGCTATTTCTTGATTTCCAATGGCAGTGTGCTGGTTCTTTTTTTTGTACAAGTCATACTTTCATGCGACTTAATGATAGTGAATACAGTTCTTTCTGGATTTCAGACCAGAAGTCGGTTGAGATGATTCCTTTTCATTTAACTGAGAGGGCAAAATATGCTCTGGAAGCTATTGAAGTGAAACAAAGACCACTTAGTGATGTTACAGTCATTTCCTTTAAGTAGACACTTGATGTTACAGTTAAGCATGTTGTAAATTATAATAATGCAGTATAATAATACATCACAGACAAGACTCTTTTTTGAATATTGAGCCTCCATTTGGGCAAATTATTTGCCTTAGAAGTTGTTATTTTAAAATGAAATAAAATAGATGGATTATTTAAAATTAGTGCAAAGTGATGTTGCATATTTAAAAAGATTTTACAACAAGTTTTTGTTTGTTGTTTTGGTTTTGAAGGTTTTTTGTTTGGGTTTTTTAAAGAAGAGGTAGTATTTTCTTTGACAAAAATATTTTTTGTTTCAGTCATGGAGAAAATGGTACATAGCTGCTGTTCAATATCCTAGAAATAGAACTCTATTACAAAGCATTAATGTTAAATTTATTATTAGATGCGGTATTAATAAGACTTAAGTGTGAATTATACCTTTCTTCAAGGCACTAAGTGAAAATTTGATACTACCCATATTTAACACGTGGAGACTCAAGGCCTTGCACTGAGAGTCAAGATGATGTTTGGGAGTAAACCTAAGTCTTCCAGCTCTTGGTCTTCCTGAGCTTACTTTAAACTTCTTTTCAGAATTTGAATTTATTTGGGAATAGTGACCTAAATTAAAAATACAGAGTTTGCTAAAATGTTGTTAATTAGGATTCAAGATGGTGGTAGTTAAATTACAGAATTTATGCTTTCAGGCATAAATTTTTCAGGAGGAATTCTTTTGTTAGCTGAGGTTTGGTAGTAGGTGTTTGCTGAGAAGGCCCTTTGTACCTGTGGTTCTCACAGGATTTTAAAAGGTATAGTCTCCTTAAGTCATATCTCATGCTGAATTTACAAACTGGTAACTGGAGGATGCCAGGAAGTCTTGTTTAAATCTGAGGGGACAGATCTTGGGAGAGATGAGTTAACCTTCTGCTCTCTGGAAGCCAGAGGAGCGGGACTGGCATAGTGCTCCAGACCCAGCTGTTTGCTGCTGACTGATAGAAGGAACAGCTGGATGAAAAGAAGCACACTGGGAACACCGTTTTCTTGCCCTTGTCACCAGCCTCCCTTTCAACCACAGGGTCATTACCCAGTTTTTTTAAGGTTAAACCCTCTTCTGTTGGGAATTGCAGTGGGACACTGCTAATCCGGGAGGTGGAGGAGATTACCATTGCTTCACACTGCACACCTTGTTCTGCATAGTGGTGCTTAAGTCTGTTAAGTAGGAAATGGGGCAGTACTGTATGGGGCAGTATCCTTAAGTTGTTCTACCTTTACCTTGTTAAAAAAGGGAGGAGGATTAGGAGAGGGAAAGAAACCTGCTGCCTGTTTCCCTTCTTTCCAAACAATGTTAAAAAGGCAACAAAAATCCAGACCTTCCGCATTAGATTATTGAACTTCTTTGTTTTGCATCGGAAATCTAACAGTTTAGAATAGCTGCAAGCAAGTTTCAAGTAGTCATTAAAATTGATTCAAGGAATAAGGCTTACAATGTGAATCTTCATACTTGGATACTTCGGTGTGTCACTGGAAATTCAAAGCCATGAATAGAATTTTTAAAAACGTAGACAGCCACTTGTGTCTGTGAATAGAACAAATGGCTTGATTTTCGTTCTATACACTGTGTTGAACAGCACATTTAGTAGTAGATTAGTTAAAATTGATTTAGTGTAGTCTGTTTGGCGTAACAAATGCATATTTTTAAATATAAATGTACACAATAGCATAAATGGGTGGGTTTAAAAGTGGCTTTGGTTTGCTTTTTAAAACTACTCAAAAGAATCACTGCCAACTTAATGAATTGGAGCCTGAAAGTAGTTTTTAAGTTTGCTCTTAAAAAAATGGGATGGAGACCATACTTTAGGAAGTGCAAACATGGCATGAGGAGGGGAGCCTGGCGTGTGTGCAGACGGTGTCACACCTTTCAGAGGTGTGTGTCGTGTTTTCTCCCCGTAAGAGCTGTTGGTACAGGCTGTGAACCAGGGCTTAAGGATTTTGTCTGTAAGAGGAAATCTGCTGCCATAACACTTATTACTAGAATGTCTGTCACCTACTGTACAAAATAATTGGATTATATTGTTGCCTTACTTCTCTGGCGGTTTAGTTCATAACACTACATTATATTTAGCACCAGAGGGAGCCAACAGTGTTTGTATTGGTTTAGAAAATTATGGCATTAGATTTTAATTCTTTGTGTTGCTCCTCTGTTCAGCACATTCGCAACACTGAAATTACAGTGTTTGGTACAATTGCAAATGTCTCTTGAGACTGGCCAGCCACTGTAGATGTCTCTAGTGTGGTCCTGGCACTGTTTGTTTGGCAGGGACTGCATATAGGGGGTACATGAATAAATGCCAAATATCTGAACATATGACATAAGCTGCTGAGAATAACACTGTGCATGCAGCATTCTCTTCCAGGCAGCTTGAGGGCATTTGAACAGCTTTTTAAGGAAAGGTAGATATAGAAGTATAATTTTAGTGAATAGCTGTCATTCCTCAGGGCATAATAGCACTTACACTCTTAAAACAGTTGCTAAAACATTAGCTTTCCATCCAGAGCTGAATGATGCTTAGATGTTTTCATTGGGACAATAGAATTAGATTTTCTTTGCCTCATATCAAATTGTCCTGACTTCAGTAGTTGCCATCAATCTTATGTGCTCTGATAGTGCTGGTGTTACTGCTAGTGTAAAGCTGTAATTCTCTTAATTTGGGATGGTCTGTTAAGATCTGCAGCATTAGCATATCCACTCGAGTGATAATTTGATGTCATTTTTGAGGAAGCTTGGAAACTTTATACCACCCAAGGTCCGAGCACATGCATGTGTAACTGGGAGTCCTGTGCAGGGAGGAGGGCCGTAAGGAACCTCCTCAGAGTGTCTTGCTGTGTAAAATATACTTTACTTGCAATAATAGTTTGAAAAAGATGCATTTATCTTTTTCTGATGTCACCAATCACCCAGGTAATTTGTGGGTGAGACTTCTGTAAACTTTCAGGAAGATTTAGTTACAGAGTAATTATTTTAGCAGTTTTTAAAG